CACTCTTTAAACAGGGTTCAGATGGAAGAGCCACCCTTCTCACCTGTAATAATCGATACCAAGGAAAGCTCCTTGAGATGCCTTTACATCAGATCTAGAAGCAACAATGAATTTCCTAGTCCTCATCCCATTTTGAACCCCAGCAGGACAAAGGGATGAAAAACAGCATCCGAAAACACATACAAACCGTGGATTGTCTCAGGTCCATTTAACAGCGAGTTTGCACCTACATGATGCTAAAACGAGGCCAACACTGTCTGCCATCTCTTTACAAGATGTAAAAGCCAAGTGAGTCTTTGTCAGTAATGAATTCCTCTTTGCAATGGCTCTAAATTGAAGAAAATGAGTGTTTCTTTCTCCTCTCCGAACAGCGCGGAGCCCCCATCAGGGTTGCTACGCAACCACCTCCTGCACATGGCTGATAACACTCTCGCATTATTTCCCCGCCTGACTGCACCGTCAGAACAAAGCCCGGCTAATGAAGCTTTCAAATGCTCTTGGCTCTGCCTTTAACAGGTCAACATGGGTTTTCCTTCCATGTTTGTGACAGTTACAGCAGCGACTTGCTGTCCCTCCAGCCAGGGATGTCTCCGGAGCTGGATGGAGGAAATGCCCAATGGAGAGCGATGGACAGGATCAGAGAAGAGCAGCAGAACACCTGATGGATGCAGCTGGCCTCCAGAATGAAGGGCAGCCATGCACACCAAGAAACAGAGGGAGATGACAAGGCCCTCTGAAGCGTTGAGCCACTGGCATTACAGACCAAGCCAGACGTCCTCTGGTTCCCATTTACCCATCAGACATAATACCCTTATCACACCACAGCTGCTTGTAGATGTGGGTACAGCGAGGACAAACCTCCTCACGGGCATATGTGAAAAGGGACAGGACAAAGACAACTCACCAAGTTAGGCAGCACCAGTCCATTAAAGCCCTGAGGGATTGTTTTTTTAAACAATCTGTGAAATAAATTTGACCGTGCTTTTCTTACACAGCATGGCTTTAACCTGCCAGAGGGGAGATTGAGATGAGCTCTTGGGCAGAAGCTCTTCCCTGTGAGGGTGCTGAGGCGCTGGCACAGGGTGCCCAGAGAAGCTGTGGCTGCCCCATCCCTGGCAGTGTTCAAGGGCAGGTTGGACACAGGGGCTTGGAGCAACCTGCTCTAGTGGAAGGTGTCCCTGCCCGTGGCAGGGGTTGGAGCTGAATGAGTTTAAAGTCCCTTCCAACACAAACCATTTTATGAAGGGAACTTCGTAAGTGATGATATGGTGAGTTTTTTCATCTGACCCTCGTGGGTGTTCATACTTGCCAGGCTGGTGAAGTTGAAGGTGTGATTACATAGGGGATTAGGAGGAAAAGAGGAAGAAAACAAATAGAAATTGAGGGTGTTTGTGTCCCTGTGTGGGTTCTTCGGGTTAGTTTTGCAGGGTTTGGAGGAGATACAGATGCTCACAGGTTCTGCTGGCCTCTCCTCGCTCATCCCAAACCTTGCTCTTGGCAGGCTGCAGCAGAAATGTGCTTCAGTGGCTCTCTGTCCTTTGCAGGCTGAAGACCCACCTGTGTTACCTCCTGTCTCAGCTCTTTGTGGTGCCTGGACAATGCAGGCAGAGGAAGTTGCTATGATCTGTGCACATGACTCTGTAGTAAGCCCTCTTTGGACACAAGAGGCAGTCAGAAAGTGGAATAATTGCCTTTTACTTATAACAAACCAGCAGAGCTGGCCCAGGGTTTCAAGAGAGACAATTAAAGATATTGCATTGTTTTCTTCAAAAGGAGAAATAGACCTGGGGGTTCCCTAATGGCCCTCCTGATCCTGTGCTGAGCTCTCAGAGTGCCTTGTTGTGGGTTGCATTTATTATGAGCCACTTATTATCCCTAATTATTTAGCAGGGGGGAGGTCTCTCAGTAACAGGCAAAGTTGTGCCTTGATGAACACTCAGCTGTCTGTGTTTAAGATAAAATTACTGTAATTAACAAATCGATCAACCCTACTTTCACTTGCCTGGCTGGGACAGAACAAATGGGGAGAAATGAGACCTATTTAGCACAAAGGTAGAGAAAGGGTTTGCAGCCCTCAGGATACACAGGCTTGAAGGCTTTTTCTTGTGGTTGCTTTTTTTCCCCCACACACAGTGCTTTTAATGTTAATGTCACATAATTGTCTTTTATTGGGTAATTTTGTCTCCAACAAAAAGCGCTCGTGCTGCACTTCCTTCAGCTCAGCCCAGCACAGCAGAGGCAGTGCTTCAACAGCCAGGTGGGTTGTTCTGTTATAATCCAAACCCTGAGCAGGGCTGAGGTGGATCCCTGGGGTGCTCTGCTCTTCTGTGACTCTCGTCCAAAGCCCCTCTCCAGGTCTCCTGGAGCCCCTTTAGGCACTGGAGCTGCTCTAAGGTGTCCCCTTCAGGAGCCTTCTCTTCTCCAGCTGCCCCAGCCCAGCTCTCTCAGCCTGGCTCCAGAGCAGAGCTGCTCCAGCCCTCGCAGCAGCTCCGGGGCCTCCTCTGGCCTCGCTCCAGCAGCTCCACGTCCCTCTTGTGCTGTTCCCCCAGAGCTGGATCAGGGCTGCAGGAGGTGTCTCCCCAGAGCACAGCATTTACCGTGATAGCTTATTTTCAGCCACTAATGAAACTGGAGCCAAGAGGTTTTACCATACTTTTATTGTTTCACTGAATAAATGGATTTTAAATAAAATATTAAAAACTTGTAAAAAAGTTATTAAAAGCCAGCATTCAGAAGTAGGATGCACATCAGTGACTGAAAAATTCATACTTACTTTCTGGTACAGAGATAGGAAAGAAAAATAAAAAAGCAAATCTATCATCTGGAAAGAGATGTCTTTTTTCTTTTTTACATTTCCTTCCATGTTTGAGAACTGACATTTGACTGTGAGAACCTCGCACCAGCCTGTTTTTCACAGCACTGATTCACATTGTTTGGTGTTGAAAAGAAACCCACTCATTTGCTGTTTACAGCAGGAGAGACGTAGTGTTTCCCTTTCATATGCATTGGAAGCCAGTATGCTTACAGAACATCCAGCATGAGGTGTGTAAGAAAATGCAGTTATATGATTTGCAGGGATGTAATTTAGCTTATGAAGGATCTTTGAGCTTACACCGATACCTTTCTGAGTTAAGTATTTCTTACAGTATCGCATCTCTGGCATTCACTCTTTGCTAAGCTCCATCACTGCAACATAGATTTCCACAAGTGATGAGTGAATAGGTACCATCGATTTTTAATGCCTGATTTTAAAGCAGCTTCATCTTTCAAGAGACACAAATCAGCCATCCTCAAGGACAGGAATCAGGTACTTTTGGGCACAATTTCATCCCTGTAAAACAGAGGCACCTCAAGAAGCCTTGGCATTGGGGTTCTGGGTCAGGGTTGGGAGGTGGGTTCTTTGCAAGTTTCTATTACGGGTACTTAATAAGACAGCTATGAAGAGGATCTCAGCACTCAATGCCATCTGCATCATCTCAACCAAAAAAAAGTAGACAGACGCTCGAATATATGCATCATTTCAATACATCAGCACCACTCACAACATTCACAACAGGTTAGAAAGAATATGGGTTACGGCTCACCTGTTCCTCAACCACCAAGAGAATTTAACCAGAGAATGAGGCTCCCTTACAATAGAAACTGGGGCTTTGAGTTAATGAACAGGGGTAGCTGTACATCAGCCTGGGGGGAAAAAAACAGAGGAGGGAAGCCCAGACTGCAATAGAAAAAAAATCATTTAACAAAAGAAATAATACTGGAGGTTGTCACCAGTGCAGCTAGGATCTGACAAAGGAAATATTTTGAGTATACACTTGCAGGGCAGCCCCGCTTTTGCCATGTGAATAAATATCCAACAGTACTTAAAAACAGTATATAAAAAAAAGATGTGATTTTCAGAAATGTTGCATGTTCCATCCCTGTCACTGCACAGTAGGTTTCCTCTTGTGAGGTATTTCAGCATCACCACAAAGGAAAACAATACTTCCGCACTCCTAATTCCACAAGTGCAGTTTGATTTGAGGTCGTGTGATGGTTATACAGTGATGTGAGATGCAAACCTGCTCTCAGAGTGGTGAGGCTCAATTCAGTACCCACTGTGCAACCAGGTACAACCACAGACCTCTTTGTTCAACCACTCCACATCTTAGGGGTTTTTTGATTTGTTTTTAAACAGACGTGTTCACACAGAGTCTTCCAAAAAGAAGTTCAGTTTCTGTGGCCAGGTCAGATTACTGACCTCCAACTACCTCAGAATATTTCCTTGGTTGTCTGTGGATATATAGGCTGTCCATCAAAATAAATGCAATGGTTTACCCTGATCAATGGCAACCTGTATGTTTGTTTTTGCATTACCGGCAGAGCTGTATGGGACAGGCACCTCGTCTATCATGCACACTTTACATTTCAAAGGCTGCTGTCCATCCCATACTTTTTTCCAAGGAAAGTTACTTTCTTGGGTTCTGTAGATGTATTTAATGGTAGTCATTAAACACAGGATGTTGGCTTCACATCCCGTCTGGCTGTTTTGGAAACATCCTTTTTCATTCTTCAAAGAACGTAAGAGTATCTTATTAGTGAAACCCAGGCTCACAACTTTTTCTGGCAATATGCAGGAGTCAACAGTGGCTCTTACCTATGGGATGTCATTAGTAGTGCTGCAGCATTTGACCCTCTCCTCTAAAATGTGGGTGTGATCAAAAGAAAGAGCAAATCCAGAAGAAACAGATTACTTCTACCACCTTCAGGAGGTTGTTTCTTACGTTCCATCCTTGCTGCACAATCACTGTAGCTTTCTTTGCAGGGTTTGTTGGGGGAGGGGGGGATATTTTGCTTTAAAATAATCATACCTCCTGCAAATCCTGCTACATGATGCTAATTGCTGCTTGTTATCGACACCCCTGTAGCATGTAAGCTAGGGTACTCTCACAGCCAACTGTCATGAAGTAGTAAACAAAGCTGGTTTTCCTTCAAAGACACAAGCATTGTCCAGTCTGTGACTATACCAGGAACATCTCTATAGTTTTTCCACACCTTCCAAAACTTCAGCCGAATGCTTCATTTTGCTCATGCTTTCCTTACAATACCCGAGGATAAGATGGGTTCTGCTTAATTATCCACTCAGCATGGGGATTGATGTGGTACAAGTCTAGGAGGTAAGTGTCCGGGTCCAGGCAATGTTCACCTATGAAAAATCAGAAGAAAAGCATTTCTTATATCCTTAGTCCTAGAGTTGCTAGTTTTCAGTGTTTGCTGTTTTGTTTGGGCATTTGTTCACATTAATTTCAATATCACAACCATTCAGAAGTTTTTCCACAGATCTGGAAAACTTCTAGTTATTTATGTTTAAATGAATGTACATTTCTTAAAACTCTACTAAGCCCAAGCTTTGACCTTTGTAGAAAGGTTCTCTAACATTAACAGTCCATAACTTCAGCACCTGAAAACCATCATGAAATACGCTGGTGATCAAATCCAGAGACTGAATTGTTTCCAAGAACTGAGCTCTTCCTCTACGGATGCTATTAAGAGAAATAGAAAGAGACAGCCAAAACACCACAGTAACCAACAGCCTCCAGAAGCAGCTGTAACAGAGCATAAGAATTCCTTCCCATTTCCAGACACCCCTAATCTGCTGCTGCAATCATATCCTTTAAGTCTCCTCTCCACTTGATGACATTACCCTACTGACAACTGGAAATTGGTGACTAATGAACATCATCAACTTGTTTAACTACATGGCTTGAGAAACCTCCACGCAAGTTAGTATGGGCTCTTCTGTCAGGAAGTGGATGAAGGCAGACAGGATTCACATCTGGTACAGATGCCATGTGCCAGCCTACCACACTTAAATAAAGCCCAGATAAGAGGCACAGAATTAAAAGCCCAGTGGCATAGGATGAAGTTTCCCTTTACTTAGAGGCATGTAGTTTATGGGTTTAAGTTCTACACTTAATTCCAAACATGAACCTTTATTGTTGTGGGGAAAGGGGGTTTAACACAGCACATTTAAGAGAACGGTTTGTTTTTAAGATGATCAAAGTTTTGTAAGTCTCTGTCCTCAAGACTTTTGGACTCTTGAGTTTCCAGTTTTCTTGACAGGCAGCTTCTGAATAAGATCCATTATAGTTACTTAGAATCCCAGACTGGTTTGGGTTGGAAGAGACCTTAAAGCAGTTCCAACCCCCTGCCAAGGGCAGGGACACCTTCCACTCGAGCAGGTTGCTCCAGGCCCCTGTGTCCAACCTGGCCTTGAACACTGCCAGTGATGGGGCAGCGACAGCTCCTCTGGGCACCCTGTGCCAGCGCTTCAGCACCCTCACATGGAAGATTTTTTTTTCCTTTAGAAGACCAGGATTCAATCTTCTCACATACTTGCACTATAAAGGCTTTGCAGTGAGGGCTGGAAGACATACGAACTATCAACTCAAGAGCTTTGGCAGGTGCTGTTTGCTGTGGGTGAGGTTGACAATTGTGTTCTAACTTTTGGAGCCCCGCTCCGAATCTCATCCTTTTTATAACTCCTTCCTAAGACAAGTTAAGCATAAATACTGAGTATCAGAGTTGTTATTTTCATTTACCACTCAAACTTACCAATATTGCCTCCGACTTCATACAGGAGCAAGTTTGTGCACTCCACTGAGTTGTTACTGCAGAGAGGAAAACACACTGAAGTTAAAGCTCTGCAAAAATCAGGTTAGGTGATTTAGCAATGTTTCTTCCAAATGAATTGCTTATGGTTCAGAGGCCAACAATGGCCAAGGAAGCTACAGACCATGGTACAGAGACCTTGCTGATTGTCCTAATAGTGCAGCTCTTGACAGACACCCAAAATTGGGAAAAAAGAAACCAAAGCAGATATTCCTCACTAGTAGCAAGACGTGCACTATAAGCAAACACCACCTTTTCAATAGGCAGACAACTGGCATAAATACCAAAGTTCAATGGCAACATTTCTCTAGAGCTGATGGCCTGTTCAAGAGAAGCTCATCTGCAGGAAGACTTCAGCAGCTGTAGTAGCTTGTTAGTGACCCACATTCAGTCAACTTCCCATCCACGTTCCCTGTCTAGACATCTCCTGCCCAGGGACACAGTCAAGGGATGCACTAACACTTTGCCTACTAAATACGGTCTGCAGGCATGGTGACAAGAGGGGCCAAGAATTCTGTTCATTTTTTTCAGTGATTCACCACTGAAGCAGAGTTTATTTTAGGAAATCCCTGTATTAACATGTTGGAAATACTATTCCAGGCAAATAATTTGCACAGGTGATGTTTTCCTCCAAGAGAGCTAGCGGGAGTTTCTTTTGCAGGGTCAGTGTTATTCCACTTTCCTTTCCTCAGCAAGGATGCTAAAGTTCACCTGCCATCCAGCATCCCAGAGGAAACTCCTGAGCTCCTGACAGCCGGAGCACAGTGATGGAATCACTCAATTGAACTAATATTTGCTTGCCCCATCCAACACACTATTTCCAAAGCTTAGAGTAGAGGAGCAGAGCAGTCTCCTAATGGCTCATTGAGCCACCACGTAAGGTTCCTTCAAGGCCAGGTTGGATGGGGCTTGGAGCAACCTGGTCTAGTGGAAGGTGTCCCTGCCCATGGCAGGGGGCTGGAACAGGATGAGCTTTAATGTCCCTTTCGACACTAATCATTCTAGGATTCTTTGATCAGCTCTGCCAGAAGACCAAAAAGAGCAACTAGACCACCTAGTGCTTTTCTTTTCTTTTTTTTTTTTAACTTTTAAAAGCAGAGAAAAAGCTATTTACCACTTGAGGAGGTTGACAGTGTTAACAATATTCCAGCCACGCTGGCACATGTTCTTTTGAAACTGCCTCAAGACATCAGCAACTCTTGTTGCATTGTTCAAACGCACTTCTAGTGAATCCTTCAGCAGAAGCGAAGCATGGACTTTCACAGTCTTGGAAGGCTGAACAAGGCAGGCAGAAAAGAAGAAAGTGCTTAATGGAAGACTTTGTTATCAGCTAAAACATTAAGTTTCAAATTAGATTGGAGAACGTGAAGAATTAAACCTATCCCACCAGCAGTTCAGAGAATTTGGGCTTCTTTCTTATCCCACATATGCTATAGGCTGGAAGCTTATAGAAGCATCAAGGTGAGCCTTATAAAGAATTCATCAGTACTTTGGTGGTGTGGCTGGGGAGAAAAGCACTGCTCTCCATCAGTGTGCGCTGGTGCTCTCTGCTGTTCAAATACAGCACTGGCACCAGAAGCATCACAAGCTTCGATGAAAACAGGATTTGCTGGAATAAATTCTGACAAACTGTCAAGTCCTATTTTCTCAAGACTGTTTTCATCAATTCCTTCATGAACAAACTCCTCAGACCTTTTGTAGAGAACACCAGGATCCCCCCTGATCCAGTTCTGGGGCAACAGCACAAGAGGGATGTGGAGCTGCTGGAGCGAGGCCAGAGGAGACCCCGGAGTTGCGGCAAGGGCTGGAGCAGCTCTGCTCTGGAGCCAGGCTGAGAGAGCTGGGCTGGGGCAGCTGGAGAAGAGAAGGCTCCTGAAAGGGACACCTTAGAGCAGCTCCAGGGCCTAAAGGGGCTCCAGGAAACCTGGAGAGGGGCTTTGGACAAGGGGTGGAGGGACAGGACAAGGGGAATGGCTTGAACCTGCCAGAGGGGAGATTGAGATGAGCTCTGAGGCAGAAGCTCTTCCCTGGGAGGGTGCTGAGGTGCTGGCACAGGGTGCCCAGAGGAGCTGTGGCTGCCCCATCCCTGGCAGTGTTCAAGGCCAGGTTGGACACAGGGGCTTGGAGCAACCTGCTCTAGTGGAAGGGGTCCCTGCCCATGACTGGGGCTTGGAACTGGATGAGCTTTAAGGTCCCCTCCAACACAAAGCGTTCTATGATTCTATAAAACATTAAACTGTTCTAACGGAGCAATCTGCAGCAAGTTAATTTTGCAATCCCGAATCCTCTGCAAAACCAGTGTATAACACTGAAACTGTGAGACCAGTATTACCTAATCCTAAGCATTATTCATCTGTTTGACTGCCTGAACAGTAGTTCCACAGTGACCTGCTTCCTTGACAAGTCAAATTTTAGGCAGATGTCATCTCAGTATCCCAACTCATACAGAAAGGTGGGGGATGTACTGGCTTGTGTGCTGGCTTTCCATGTATTGTAGAATGGTTTGGGTTGGAAGGGACCTTTGAGATCATCTAGTTCCATGCAGATTTAAGCTTTCAGTGTATTAACTCCACCTGCAGACTCCATCTAGTTTGTGTCCTTAGAGCACCCCAGCTGCACCAGCACTGCTATGCAATACTTAAAATCCAGCACTGCATGAAGTAACCTTCCTACAGATCTACCTTACTTAACCAACAGTGGCAACCAAAGGAAAAGGCAGAATGACACCAAGGATCTTGTCTCAAATTTGATATTCAGATAGATCTGGTAGTAGCATCTGTTTAAAAATCTCAGCCTCCACCAAGACAAGAAGGAGCAGAACCATTTCGTTTATCTCTCCTTTTAAGTGGAAAGAACCTTGTCCCCAAACTCTCCCACACAGATCAGCAGAATTATGGAGTAAAAATAAAATTAGATGCAAAACATGCTTTTATACTGCTGTAATAGCCTAATTTTTTTCTTTAGGTTCATGAAATTAAGTCTGCATTTATTACCACAGACATATCTCTCTAAACCCATGGGACACCTAAAGCCAGATGAATTCTGTTCAGCACATGAAGTAAAGACCAGCATTTCTGCTTCTGGTCTCTTCCCCCCTCACCTGCAACCATGCAGCATCTTGACAAAGTTTTCTGTGCCATGAAATTTACTTAGTGCTCTTGCTGTTGGGATTAGTTTTTGCCACAAACTAGCCAAGAGGGAAGCTCTTTCTCACTGTTCTGCAGATTTTTCTGCCTCTTGCTCTTTAAAGAGCATCACTCCTTACAGTTTTCCAAGTTCTCATGAAAGCATTTGACACTCTTGTGAACGGGCTCAGTTTTTCCAAGCCCTAACTCACCTCTGCCTGGTTCTTTTCCACCTTGTCTTTATCAGCATGAATCTTCCGCAACAACTGTTTAATTCGCTTGTCACAGAACTGGTACCTTTTGGTATTGCTCTCATTCAGCTTTCTCACTTGAGCTACCAGAAAAGAGGAGACCTGGGCAGTGGAGAAGGGAATAAATAGGAATTAAATCAGGAAGAGATGAGGATGCCATTTAAGAACCTAATCTTTATGAAGCTCCTTAAGTAGACATGATACCTATACACTTTGAAAACAATTAGTCTTGGAATTCAGCCACAGACTTGGCCTATAGATACTTAACTCTGAAATTTCCAATACTGTCCCTTCCTCTATTCTAATTCTAACCAGACTGAGACACTGCTACACCATACCACAAAAAACCAGAGAGACTTACTGTCCAAAGCAAATCCTGGTAATGGATCATCATCCGCACAACATCAGCAGCCCCCTCAGCCAGCTGCTTCTCCTTTCCTTCAGGGATCTTGTTTGGCAGTCCTTTGTGCATGAAGAGGTTTGGGGCCATGACTGTGGAAACGTTCCAGAGGTTCATTTTGTTGTTGTTCTCCCTGGCAACCACTTTGCTGAGGAACTCAAGTAAAGCCTAAAGAGAGGGGAAGAGACTTAATACATCCATTATTAATAACACTCAAGAACTACTGTGGCAATTACCGGAGAGATCACTTAACTAGCGTTTTTTCTTGGTACCTATGAGCAAATCCTATTTCTCCAGCCAGGAAGTTCAGCGAACAGTTCGTAACACTAGCATGGCAACAAATAACTGCACCAAGCAGAGAGATAGTTTGTCCAGCATTCACAAATCAGGAGAGACAGCCTGTGTGGGAAGCAGATGAGCTCTTTCTTACTCCCTGGCAGGTGGCAATTTACGACAAGTACAGTCATAAAAGATATGGACTCCAAAGCTGCTCCTCCTCCTTCCCCCAAGTATCCTCTCAAAGCTACTCCCAGATACGGAAAAATAAACCCTTTTGGATCATCTCTTCTGCCTCATGCCTCCACCAAAGCCACGATGAGTGATAGATCAGCTTTGGCTGGATTCTGGATTCCAGGGTCTGCAGGGCAGTAACTCAGCCTTCCCTTTATCACCTGGAAGCTGAAAAACTCAGGAGAAAAAAACCCCAAAGAAAGCAGCAGCACCCACGACATTTCTTCTAAAGCACAGACGGGCAGAGGCTGTGCACAGCCAGCATGGCCGATCCCATCAGCATCTATTCTTTCAAAACGTAGCAGGTGAAAGGGTTTGAGACGCCTCCTGATCAGAACAGGGAAGTGAGAAGCTTAACAGCTGTTTTGATTATTTCTTTTAAATTGGAACTCTCTTTCCTAGATGATAATACCACAAACCATTGATCAAAAGACTCAATTTCTTTCCCTGTACCTTAGCATGCCCACAGACAATGTAAGACCTGTGCATCTTTCACTTCATACCGAAATGCTTTAACAAGACTGACGGGGAAGAGCATGTTTCTGAACAGGATGCTGGATGCTGCAAGATCACATGGAATCCTGCTGCTTTTCAGTTTGTACCTACAAGGCAGACTATGCTTACAGCTGACATTCTCTGCACAGCCTGTTTGCCTGCTCCTCCTGGCACAGCTTTCCATTCTCAAGCCAGCAAAATAAAACCAAGGAGCATGATGTCTGTTATTTACAAAAACTGACAGAGTTTCCTCGAATAAAACCTGGAAAGAGATCATGTTTTTCCAGTTAAATCCATAACAGGTAGTTACCTTTAGAGTGTTTCTGTTGGGCTCTGGCAGAATCAGGATCAGAAGGTTTAGAGCTTGCAATCTTTGCTTCAGATCTGGTATATCTAATGCGGGAGAGCAACAACAGGACAGAGAATTCAGGCTTCTGCCATTTATTTTTTCTTTTGAGCAAGGGAATCCCCCAAGGAATAAGGCAATTACTTGTAATGTTTGCCACTAGGCTTTGAGGCCTTGTTTTACACAAGTATATCAAACTCAACCTGCCCTTTATGAAGTGAACTACTTGTGTTTTAGAAGACTGGCTGATTTGCTTTGGAGTACACAGTCCACCAGCAAGTCTGATGCTCTTGAAGGGCATCAAAAGACTCCGTAATCCCTCATTTCTCGAACAAAAAGTTGTGCACTTAAACAGTTAGCTTGCCCAAGGAGGTTGTGAATGCTCCAACCCTGGTGGTGTTCAAGGCCAGGTTGGACAGAGCCTTGGGTGACATAGTTTAGTTTGTGGTGTCCCTGCTCATGGCAGGGGGGTTGGAACTAGATGATCTTAAGGTCCTTTCCAACCCTGGCCAGTTGTCCCAGCTCAGCCTGCATGTCATTATATATAAATTTGTCCTAATTTGCAGTAGCAACCTTTCAGCCTCAAATGAAACAACGTAATTTCAGACCCCAGGACAGTGTTCCTACACAAAGATGTATGAAACCAACCACCAGTGAGTATGAATCTCGGGCTGATACAACATTAGTACATACAGCACCCACCACACTACTTTTGGCTATGGTTCATATCAAAGCATCACAGACTGGTTTGGGCTGGAAGGGACCTTAAAGCTCATGCAGTTCCAAGCCCTGCCACAGGCAGGGACACCTTCCACTAGAGCAGGTTGCTCCATGCCCCTGTGTCCAACCCGGCCTTGAACACTGCCAGGGATGGGGCAGGCACAGCTTCTCTGGGCCCCCTGTCCTCACAGGGAAGAGCTTCTGCCTCAGAGCTCATCTCAGTCTCCCCTCTGGCAGGTTCAAGCCATTCCCCTTGTCCTGTCCCTCCAGGCCCTTGTCCAAAGCCCCTCTCCAGGTTTCCTGGAGCCCCTTTAGGCCCTGGAGCTGCTCTAAGGTGTCCCCTTCAGAGGCCTTCTCTTCTCCAGACTGAACCAGCCTGTCTCCATAGGACATAACGTGCTCTGTATTCCCGCTGAATCCACAGGCTCCCAACACACCTGGCAGCAGAGCACAAGACCAGTAGAGCTCTGCAAGAAAAGCACAAACCAGCGATATGATGCTAAACAGCCAAAGCAGGGACTCACTTTGTACAGCAGCAAAAGCAGGGAGGTACTCTGCAGTCAGCAGCGGGGCTGGCAGCTCCCTTATGAATCTTTTCAGTAGCCCAGACGCATCATTCTGGTGGACTTCATCCCAGTGGAAAAGGCCAGTATAGAAGTCCCTTTCTAGCTTCTGTTCCAGACTCTAGTAAAAAGATAGAATTTATTACATGCTTTAATAAGCAAATACAAGGGAAATTCTGTAGCTGAGCACTAGAACGGCAACTCATCAAGCCAGAAGAGTGCAGAGACCCCCACAGCAGACACTCCCTGATTTCCCTCACAGCAGACACTCCCAGATTTCCCTCATAGCAGACACTCCCTGATTTTCCAGCAATGAAAGTTTCAGTTGTACCAGGAAGGGAGACGAGACAATTAGGTTATTTAGACAATCGCTTCAGCAACATGCTCCCTTGATCACCTCTGACAGTCTCAGACACTACTGAAGAACTCGTACCTTTATTCTGGTCTGGGATCCAGAAACTCTCAAAATGCCCTCTGTTTCAAGTCCTCTCTTTTCCAAGCAGGATAGCAGCTATTAAAGTGGGGGGAGAAAGAAAACTCTTAGGCACAAAAGATGAGAAGTCTGCCTTTCCTTATCACAGCCTTTCTGACTGAGAATCAGAATGAAACCAGAAGAGAACTTACTGCCTGGAGTAACAGAGGAACCTTGGTGTTGGGAAGCAGTTTTTGGTCATTTTCCAATAGAGTGTTGAGTGGAACTCCAAAGAGTCTTTTCTCTGCAACAGAAACAAGAGGCTTTAAGTCTGTATCACCTGATCTGTATCGGGTGTAAGGAATATATCCACTACTGCAGACTAAGATGACACATCTTGTAAGCACAGATACTGGAGAAAAAAAGACGAACAGTTAAACAGGTCAAGTGCATTTGGTAGGAGACATAAATGTGGTGCAAGGTATTGATGTCATGATCCAGTGACTTCAAAGAGAAATTCTGATAAAGGAAAACACACGCGTCACAAGGTTTCTTATCAAAGACTCTCTCTGTTGTAAGGTTTGAAATACAAACCTATGACAAGATCAATGTTACAACCAAAACAAACACCAAAGGCGCACACACAAAGAAATTAAGATGACATGAACTAACCTGTTGTTTTCAGCTTTGCTGCTTTGTTTCTCTTCAGCTCAAAGCCCAGGATATCACAGAGAGCTGTTAGTTCAATAAGGGCCAGTGTGGGGATCTTCTTCATGTCCTGAGCAGACAGATCTCCAACCCTGGTTACTCCAAGTCTACCCTTGGGGATCTTAAATTTCTAAGGAAACACATACACACCCAAAAGGTTCACTGCACGTTATCACTACTAATCCTACTACTTATCAAGTTTTGCTGCATTTTTATCATTCCTTACCATAACCAGCCATAGAATCATAGAATAGTTTGGGTTGGAAAGGACCTTAAAGTCATACAGTTCCAAGCCCCTGCCACAGGCAGGGGTC